ATTGTTGGATTGCTTATGTGACCATATGATGACCTTGAACATGTGTGTGTATTGTGTATCTGTTGTTGTTGTAAGGGGCTGTCTGCTTTGGACTACACCCCGGGCCTATAAGTGGGGCCCGAAGGCCTCCCTATTCCACACGTGACATCCTGGAGCCCTGGTGTTCCATGCCTCCAATTCAACAAATTCAATTACAATAATAATAAATTTTCCTATATTATTAAAAAAACTTTTTATAAAGTTATTTAAGAAAATCTTATTCGCACTGTTTTTTTTTCTTATTTTTATTTTTAAAAAGCTAAATTAATTTTTTTAAATTCTAGGAAAAATATTATCTTATGACTTTCTTATTAGAATATCTAAATTTAATCCCCTAAAACTCCTAGAATTATATGGCTAATTTTAGGAAATTGAAAATTATGACTTTTAGCTGTACAGTATAAGTGGTGCACTTACTTGTCTGTGTCACGGGCCAGGGCCCATATCCTTGCGGCTGTGCCGCAAGACGTACTTGGCTCGTGCGCGCCAGGGATGAGAAATCGTTCCACAGCTCAGGGGCATTTAGGAACTTCTTTCTTTCTTCTTCATCTTTGATGTAAATAGCATCCTGGGCTAGATAGCTGGAATACAGTTACTAGAGGCCGTTCACAGTCTGGCCCACTCGCTTATCACATACGTTAGATAAAAGTAGTTTTAATAAAATCTTAGCTCTAATTTAACTGTATTTTCAGGAATTAGTTTTAAAGAGACTTAAAAAACTTCTAGTTTATTATATTCTGTAATATTAAAGAAGAGTCTTGCTATTTGCACGACATCAGATTGCTATTCGCATGACAAGTACATAGCTTTACACTATAATTACAGTGTAAAATAAGTACCCCCCCGTATTTCTACGCATTGACCACCCCACCAAGAGTGCTTAATGTACTTGTTGAATTGGAGGCATGGAACACCAGGGCTCCAGGATGTCACGTGTGGAATAGGGAGGCCTTCGGGCCCCACTTATAGCCGGGGTGTAGTCCAAAGCAGACAGCCCCTTACAACAAGAACAGATATGTAACGGTCGTACCTCTGGCCTGCCGTATACGTGGTATAGGGTAGGCGAGAGATTGGTTGCTGGTGGATAAACCGTAGGTTTATGTTAGCAGATAGGTTAGGGCGTCACTTACTGGGTAATTGTTACGTCTGGTAATAGTCAACACAGTGATGCGTAGCGAGTCAAGGTGATTGAGGTAACCAAGTTGTATTGAAAGCTGAGTAGCTGCCCATGGTGAATGTGCACTACTCGGTCGTCTATATACTAAGGTGATCGGGCGTGATCACCGTGTGAGTGATCACATGTGGCTAAACTATGTTCCGTTCCGGGAGGCTGAGAAAAGTGGGGCTGCGCCCGGGGCCTGATGCAGGTCGCGGCCAGGTCGTGACAAGATACACATGTTGGATTTAGGCAGCATGCATAGCATCTTAGTCATTGAGAGCCCACATGTATGTGTATTGTGCATATTGTCATCTAGGCTGACCCCGCAGCAGTCAGGGGTATTATATGCGCAGTTGACCGCCTTCCTATTCGGGCTGTGCTCGGCATGGTCACTCAAGTGACCGAGGTCACCTGATCATGTGCATGACTGTGCGCACGATCTATTCTAACAACACAATACACACACATGTTCAAGGTCATCATATGGTCACATAAGCAATCCAACAGTACTACACTTATGTTCTAATCTAGCGATAATACTCTATATAATATTTATAAAAATATAATAATTAGCAATATTACTTTTATTACTATAGAAAGCTTAGAAATAATCTTTAAAAATTAAATTGGAACTGTGAAAATAGATATAGTATTTTAAAGAGAAATAATATACCTTGCTCTCTGCAAAATTATATCGTGCGAATAGCAATCTGATGTCGTGCAAATAGCAAGACTCTTAAAGAATTATAGAAGAATAAGAAGTTTCAGGAGCTTTTAGAAAACTACAGTAGTTTATTAAGAATACTTATTAGATCTTTACTGCTTATGTGAACGGCCTCTAGTAGCTGGATTCCAGCTATCTAGTCCAGGATGCTATTTACATCAAAGATGAAGAAGAAAGAAAGAAGTTCCCAAATGCCCCTGAGCTGTGGAACGATTTCCCGTCCCTGGCGCGCACGAGCCTCGTACGTCTTGCGGCACAGCCGCAAGGATATGGGCCCTGGCCCATGACAGCTTAGATTAGATTAAAAGTTAGTTGTAATTTACTCGTGCTATTATAATTCGTGATAAAAAGAGGTTAGCAAGATCCATAATTAGGCTATATATCCCAGAAGTAACGTGGTTCACAAGCGAGTGAGCCACCCAACCGAGTGAGCCACTTCTCCCGACCTGCCTACCTTCATCGCTCAATTACTATACCACAATACAGACAATCTATTCAAACTCGCTATCACTAGATTTCTCAGACGATTCTAAATCTTCTGAGCAGGTTCGCGCATTATGACCTGGCTGCCCGCAGGTACCACATCGCCGTACGCCCGTTGCTGCGCGCTTAGACCGACCACCATTTTGCCGCATTTCTTGAACTACCTGCTGATCAACATCCTTCTGAGCCATGATATCTTGTGCCTCGCCTATAGTAAGGGCCCCTCCTTGCCGCACTCGAGTCTTTTTAGCTCTCCGGCGCTTGCTAAGTGTCTCATTCGCCTTCTGAAGCGACTGAACCTGTTTCCGTAGGATCATGTTCTCATGCGCAAGAACCTGGGCGCCCTTCGCCAGATGGTCGATAGCCTTATAAGTCGGTGTCGGAGAGGTGCTTGGATGACGGGCAAGTCGATCTTTGATATAGGCAGACTGCGAAACGGCTTGTGCTGGGTTTCGTGGTGTCAAAGAGACCCAAGGGTCGGCGTCTTCGGGAGGCGGCCCAGTCGGTGTTAGAGTCTGTAGCTTGACATCCAGCCTAGATAGGACAGCCTGAGGATCACAAGGGGCTAAACCGGCCCCTCTGAATCCTCCTATGATATTGTTTTCCGAGAAAACCTCAAAGAAGATATCGCAAAAGGCAGAAAAGAACTCAACCTTAGTCACATGGGTAATATGGTACTTCATTAGGTCCTCGATTTTGCGACTATACGCCCGCTTTAGTGGACTGAATAGACCAACATCAAGTGGCTGAAGAAGATGCGATGAGTGGGATGGCATGCATATCGGAATGATAAGCTGTTCCTTGCAGAACTTGTCGAAATCGTAAGATAGATGACTCTCGTGGCCGTCAACTACTAACATTCGATACTTGCCCTTTGTGCGGCCAGCAGTATGCCGATCGAAATGCTTTATCCAGTCGAAGCCAGTTGAGTTATCTGTCCATCCATTCTCAGTAGGTTTAATAACCTAAGCAGGCGGGAGGTTGTTATCTGTATACCAATTGCCGAGATGGTAGGACCCCTTCACCACGATAAACGGCGGAAGCGCCCAGCCAACAGCACTAATGCCCTGGATCACAGTAACCCATTCCCGGTTGCCAGGCTGCACTGATTTCGCCTTTCCGCGTCGTTCTGCACTGGTAACTACCATTGAGGACGAGATCATACCCATCATAAACCCAGTCTCGTCGAAGTTGTAGAAGTCATCATCGAGAATACCGTATTTCGCCTTCATATTCCACACAAGCCGAAACCACGCGTCAATAATAGCTGGATCTTCGCATAGGGACCTCTGGTAGTCGTATGCGCGATTGAAACGCGTCTTGAGCTCTGGTCGTCGCGCAGTAAAGTGTGAAGCCCAGTGCTTGCCGACGCGTCCCCCGGCGCGTTCCTCGAGGAGGATATTGGCCATTTCTTCAACACCACTGAGTCGGGGAGGGAATCCTCGCGAGTCGAGGTCGACAATGACCTCGACTAGAGTATCCTCTTCAATTAAAGTCAACCGCATTGAATTAGGCCGGGTATCTTGTCGAGCGCGTTGGCCGTTCATCCTGCGTTTGAGCGTGTTGCGATCAACAGAGTAGATGCGGGCAGCTTCTCGGATGCTGAGTTTAGAATTTTGCTGGATAGCTGCAATTGCAAGGAGGAGATTGGTTTCTTTAGATTGAGAAGACATAACGTGTGCGCTGAGAAAAGTAGGTTTAAAGGTGGGAGGCGAGGGAGGTTGGGGGAAGTGGCTCACTCGGTTGGGTGGCTCACTCGCTTGTGAACCACGTTAGTTTAAGATGATTTCTTCAAGAACAAAACTATCTATCGAAGAGCAAAGACGCGTACTACAATACAAGGACTACGATAAGACGCAACGAGACATATTAAACGTGTAAATGAGTAATCAAGAAAAAGCAAAGAGGGCATCATAAGCTAGTAGAACTGATAACAGAAATAGGCTGGGTTTACGGGACAGCCATATTTTTACAGGGGCAGTGTGGCAGGCGGTCAGGAACTCTTGGGCTAGCTGGTTGCTAGCAGGGTTGTCTCTAGGGTGGTCCGGATGAGATTAAAAGGGAAGGTCAGGGCCTGCACAGGAAGGATCATCGTTTTTCACTTCATCGGAGATTCTTCTTGGAAGTCAGAGAGGCCGGAAGGTCTCGAGGCTGCTAGGAAGTCTATTAATTCATTGCCTTTATTTTTGAGAGATTTATTTGAGTCTATTTCGACTGCCACTACGAGTCTTGTCCTGCCTCTGTCTTCAACCTCCCTCAGATATCGGGCTGCCGCGGGCTCTATTGATGCCTTGCCAGCGAACTTTCCCGCGACCGACCCGATATTCTATCTCATGAGATGCTTCCCTACCGGGAGACATAAGCCTCAGATTGACCCGACCTCATACGCGTAATCTGGTGCAGCTTCGGGCTGACCAGCCAAGACGCCTGTGCGACGATCCTCTGTGCATCTCCCCTAGGGTAAGTTAATGAGTTGGGTGTTGTTTCCGTCCCTTTCTGCTGCTAAAGCAGGCGATAATTGAGGGCACACGACAATTAATAATAGAAGAGTAGGGCTGTGCGAATAGCATGACTCCTCTTTAATAGTTCAGTCTCTCATACAGCCATTACTGTGCCGCCAGCACATGCGAACAATCTCGACCTGTCTCCATCCACATAGTCTTGTGATCTGAGGCTGTATTGGGTCCCGAACAGGTGACCTATCCAGTCTTCGCCGCGGTTGATGAAGAGCGACGATTCTTCGTGTAGGTAGCCGAGATCTCGTAGGTCGTCCTCCTGATCCATCCTCAGCACTCCAAGCTGTGCCACGAAATCCCTCTCATTTGCAAAATGCTCGGTGCAGTTGACGTGTTCGCAGAGAGGGACCCTGTTTCCGAGGGCATCCGTACCCATCCAGTCGATGCTCGGATTCCCGAACGTGAAGACCCTTAGTCGAGCCCTCATTGCATCTCCATGTATTTTGTTCCTTAAAATTTTTTGCAAAACAAGCCTCAACAAGAGACATCCCTGGGAGTAGGCAATCATCACGATATAGCCATTAGACCCCTCATTTTGAAGCGCAGCTGACAATTCACGGCTCAGAGCCCCCTGGGCAGCCATGCTGCTCGGTGTCCTTTCAATGAGAGTGTTCTGCCCTCCACCGATGGCTCTCTCTCCTGCACACTCGATCAAGTCCCAAAGGATACCATCGCTCCTGTTGAAGACGCCCCGGATATCTCTGTTGAATATGTCTCGCAACTTTTCGCAGTACAATCGAAGCCAGAAGTATTCTCCACCAATCCCATTAACAAAAAGCCATTGCTCGCCGTGGTTGGGGGTGTTTTCGGGAGCTCTGATCGTGAGTGCTGGTGGAAGTATAACGGTTCCATTGTTGCCAAAGTCGCTTCTTAGAGTTGTGTTTATGGGGAGCTGGTCGAGAGACCTGTTTTGCTTGCCCATTAAGAAGATGTGAGAGAGCGATTTAGCTAGGCGTTGTAGCTGACAAATCAGAGCATGCCTGTTCATCGCCTTCGTCAGGTCCAACTCGTTGTAGGGGTTGTATCTCCCGTGTGAGTTTTCGCCGTTCGGGCTGCCATCCATCGAAAGTGCTGTAGCATAGAGTTTGCTGGCTCTATTAGGCCGATCAGAAATAAGGCCAAATCGGATTTGCGTTCCAGTATGAATGTCAGGGTCTGTCCATTGGCGTCATTGGCGAATGTTTCTCTCCATATCAGGAGCGCCTGCGCAAAGTCTGTCTGGCCAATGGCCACAAGGGTGCATCTCATGACTTCGAAGACCACATTGCTCACAACATTCCCCGCCCCTTTGCAAAATATTGTTCTTGCCGCCTCCAGGATGGTGTTCGCCTCTGTCTCGCTAATCTTGCTAACAACCTTCTCAGTCCGCCGCGTCACTTGAGACAGCAAGCTTCTCAAACTATCATAGTTCGCCCTGCAGAATATTTCTTCAGCGATGGCCAGAGTCTGGTTCGGATCAGCCAGCGCTTGAGCAGCCCAGGCAGCAGTTCCTATCGCCCAGCCAAGTACACCCTTAGTAGTATCAATTGCATCTCCAATCAGGTCGCCCATTCTCTCTACAGGACAGTGGCAAATAAAATAGCAATAGTCCACCGAGAGTGAGGATGACGAAGAGAGCTGAAGTGAGAAAATTGTAGAAGTTGGTTTGGTAAGAATCGCTCTATATTGACTTGTAATATCATGACAGAGAATATGTTGAGCGGATAAGGACAGGCCGAGAGCGCGTTAAATATTATTAGTCTATTAAGACAAAATAGCCTGAGAGATAATACTTCACATGTCATTTTACTAGGACTAGATCTGACGCTACTATGGACACTGACCAGGCCCGAAGACGTGCACAAACCAGGATTGCGTTTAGCATGTGAAAGATATCTTTAGAACACGATGTCGCATTACTTGCGAAGATACGTAAGCTCCTTCCAGCTGAGCGGGTGCCGCGTCATGTTGACGTATCGAACCAGTTCAAGGGGAGAGGGTGAATTACCAGAGCGGACCAATTGTGAGGAGGATAAGGACTACCGTACACCTAAAGTTCCCGAGAGCGTTTAGATTACTTTTAGATTGGACCTGGATATGCAGCCGGATTTACATAATCCCCTGATACACTGATATCCTGACCTTAGTCAGGGGGGTGGGATTGGCATAAAACCCCTCACAGGGAAAGAGGGGGACGGAGGATCCTGGATCAAGACAATCATCAGATTCGGGATCCACGCCCTATTGCAGAATGTGACATTTCCAAGCTTCTTGCATACCGTACAAGCTGGGAAACCAGCTACGGGAGGCATGGCCCCACCTCCGCTCCAGACCCTACCCATGCCCCGGGACTCGTAAGCGTAATTTTAGGGTTTCTATAGACTTCGGCTTGGCACAATTGAAGGTGTGTAGAGGTGTAGTCACATAGTCTTCGAAAGAAACTTGATCGTATTCGAAGTAATCGGGATCTCGAGCATTGAAGAGAGCAGCAATAGCGATCTCTCGATCCGGGTTGGATATGACGTCGAGTTTCCGCCGGCGCTCCTGCAACTTCGAGTTCACCAAGGATGGGTATAGTGCTGACGAGTAATACCACCTTGTATCGCGCCGGAGTTTGCCGAAGCTCGTGTATGCAGGGCATTGAGCCAGTATGAACCGGTGCAGCCGCTCATCAATTTTGGTAGCACCCTCCTGATCAGCCGCATGCATAAGCTCGCCCGGTAAAGGTTATAGAGGTCGTCGAGGGTTTAACTGTTCATCATTTGCTATATTTGGCATGTGAGCGACCCGCTATCAGCTGTTCTGCTGCTCGATTACTTGCAGACGCCCTGGTGACGGCTAAGGACGCCTGTCTGTATACATATAATATAGGAGAAAGGGCTTTGGGAGTTTAGGAGAGAGTGTATTCTATACTATAAGGGGCTACAAGAGTGGACGCCTCAGACTTATATGACATGTCGTGAATCCTAACCCCGAGGCCCCTGGTAGTATAGACATCCTACCAGGTCGCACAGCCAATCCAAAAAACCCGCGCGCCAGTGGGGGCCTCAAGCGAAGGGGGGGCCTATACTACCAGCGGTAAACTACCCAAAAATGCCACGAGCCAATGAGAGCGCTCGAAATAAACCCAAGCGGGGGCCTAGCTTAACCCCCAAGCGGGGCCTTGTTAACCCTGAAGGGCGGCGCTGAAATCAGCTCAGATCAGCTCAGAAAAATGAGGGGTGGGTTGTCATTGTGTCGCGTGGGACTTAGTGAAATTTCAAGTGCAGTTCCAAATCGACATTTCAGCGCAGCAACGGTCAACCACAACAATAATAGTAGCAAAAATAGTATTATACAATAGATAAAACTGTACTTAATCTAACTCACTAATTCATTTTTTTTTTTTGCAAATGTTGGTGCGCACTTTATGCTCAATCAAAGTCGCAAATCGGCGTCAAAAGTGAGAATGGAGACCGTGCACCGCGATGATGCTTATGTAATCTCGTCGGCGCCCCTGTCGAATGCGAACCGACGCTTGGTCGAAATGACTAATGCTATCCAGGCTTTAAGGCGACAGTATCCCGGTCAGAACTCATGAACCAATACGGTATGATTTTGATGGCGACAGTATCCTTGCCAGCAAGCATAAGCCAATCTAACTCAGTCTTGACAGCGACAGTATCCACAGGAGAGGCAAGCTGATCGCGGCTTGCGCAAAGGAGCCTTGAGGAACGAAGTTAGCTACGGGCTACGAGATATTTGCAGGGTTGGAAATCGATCGACCAATCGATTTGATCGATTCGATTAATCGATTCGATTTCGATTTCGATCGATCGATCCAACCTGTCAATCGATATCATATCGATCGAGTAGGATCTCTAATCGATCGATATCGTATCGACCAACCCCCCGATCGATCGATTTGATCGTCGATCGCCATGTACATCGAAGGTGTCCCAGGTAGGTTGCGTACGAGCTGCCATACGCGACGAATCTGTCGCCCGACGCGTCTACCCTGACAAGCTGCTAGGGGTCCCAGCACGCGACGCGACGCGTGACAGCAGAATATCACCCACCGAAAATGAGCTGTTTTTTGTCTCGTGCGGTTTGAAACTCCGCCAATGCCTGGTTCAATAGACTCTAGACGCGTCGCAACTAGGAACTTATCTCGGGTCTTGTCCGAGTAGAATATATACAGATTAGACCTTATCAACCTCGCAGCCTTCGATTTGACCTCCTTTACACTATTTGCGGACAGTTCCCATCTCTATGGACTCGTTTGATGAGGACATGGAGACTGCCTCCTCCACGCAGCCACCCTCTGAACCGTCAACCAGTTCAGCCTCAACGAAATATGCACCCGTCAGATTTCCAGATTATGAGGCTTGGACGACAGATAAATTCAGGCGTTTCCCCGGATTTACGATCGGCCACGACCCTTCTCGAGAACGGACATGGTGGTGGCGGTTTGGATTCAGAATGAAAGACAACCGGTCACGGCCCCACATGATCGTGTGGATCTGCGAGCGATGTTTCCTCCGGAACAAGCCGAAGACTACAAATTATGTCTTCATCGCTTCAACTGGCGGAGGCATTATCCGACACCTGAGAAAGGAGCACAAGGTCATGGTTTGTGCCATCCCTCCGTGTGCCACGTCCACGTCGTTCGAGAATGCCTGCTATCTTATCAGCCACCTTCGCAACATGCAGGACCCGTTGCCGGAAGTGGAGGTACAGAACGGAATATACTTGATATGCTTGGTGCCGATCCAACGAACCCTCGAGATCAAACCCTTCTCGGCAATCTGCATACACTTTTCGACCCGAAGATGAATCAACTACTCCTGCTCGACTGGCTTACATATCATAACCTCCCCTTCAATCTAGTAAACTCTGAGCGCTTCAGACGACTGCTTCTCTACAACAACCCGTCTCTTCAGGAAGGGCAGATACCGAGCGGGAAGACGCTCGTGAATCTGCTAACAACCGAGTACAATCGCGCTCTTGGCCCGCTTCGCGAGCTGCTTCAAAGAGCGAGAAGTATGATTCATTTTACCTTTGATGGCTGGACTTCCCGACAAAACACATCATTCCTTGGAATCAATGCACACTTTATCGACCGAGATTGGAAACAATGGAAATTACTTTTGGCTTTGCCAGCCCTCAAGAAGCGTCATACTGGAGCAGCGCTTGCAGATGAAGTTGCAGACACAATCTGTGCGTTTGGCATGCAAGGCAGGTAAGACTCTCGATCAGCACTTCTTACGTGGGTCAGCAAACTGACATTGTTAACCACTATTCGGCTTCAGAATTGGGTACTGCACACTTGACAACGCTACGAATAATGATACGGCTATGGAAGCACTTGCCGCAGAGTTCGATTTCGACAGCGATGAGCGTCGCATTCGCTGCGCTCCTCATTTTCTGAACCTCACCGCCAAGGCTATGATGTACGGCAGCAAAAGGGACAATTTCAACGAGCTGCTTGACCACTGGGGGGACAAGGACTTTATGACCGAAGAAGACGAGCAGCGCCAATTGTCCGACGCAATTAATGAGTTGGCGACCGACGACGACTTTGGTATGCCGAGCATGGACGAAAGCTTCGAGCTCGAGACAGTCCCAGGAGAGAGTCAGGACCAGTATCCAGTCCCCGAGATTATCAACGCCGAGGAAGTGGACAAGTACCGCAAGTTTGGGCCGTTTGGCAAGCTACACAATATTGGCATCGCTCTTCGAACGAGCAGTCAACTTCTCGAGGACTTTTATGAAGCTCAACGGCAAACCGTTCCTAATGAACCTGTTCTTAGTTGGGTTCAAAACGTCTGTACCCGCTGGCAATCTGACGAGGCAATGGCCTCCCGCGCTCTGCTGAAACGCACAGCCTTGAACAGGATGCTTGCCATCATCGAGGAACGATGGTTAAGCCAAGGCGGCAGGGAACAGGACAAACCTGCAATACTGAAAGAGAAACTTTCCCTTGAGGAATGGAAGGTTGTTGCTGCGGTTCAGAAGATCCTTCAACCATTCAAGGTCGCCTCAAGGCAATTGCAGGGCGAGGGTATTGCTGGTAAACGCTCAACTTCAGGAGGGTTCGACGAGTACTTCCCAGTGGTGGAGATGCTTCTTGACCACCTCGAGCTGGCCGTTCAAGGAGTGATAATCGAAGAGAATGACGACCAGATCATGGAAGAGGTTCAACTGTTCAATGATATGGATGCAAAGACCCGGAGGCTGTTGAAGGTCTACATCAAACTCGGATGGAAGAAGCTGAACAACTACTATGGCAAGCTGACCTCTACTGCCTATGTGGCGGCAGTTGTATTCCACCCCTGCAAGAAATGGCGAGCTCTGGAACGGCTGTGGAACCAACTCCCGTCTCGTCAGACCTCGGAATGGAAGAGAACGTATTCGAGAAGCTTGACGACCATCTGGGAAGAACAGTACAAGAACAAGGCTCATGAGGCAGATTCTAATGCTGTTCCAGCAGCGGGGACTAGTAGCGCCTTGGACTATATTGAACGTCGACTGGCTTTTAGTCGGTCATTGACTACCGGTAATCCTGACTCTCAAGGGCGACAAAGCACACGGCAACAGCAGTCAGCGGCGATGTCACCACAAGACGAGTTTGATCAGTATCTGTCAGAGCCAGCGGTTGACAACATCGCATATAAAGCTGACCCTATTGGTTGGTGGAGAGATGTCGGGTTGTGCGTTTTCCTCGGCTGTCGTATATGGCTGTGGACTTTCTTACTATCGCATCGTCTTCTGCAGAAACGGAGAGAGACTTTAGCAGTTGCGGGAGGATGGTAACACCGCTTAGGTCCCGCCTACGACGGCATATTGTGGCTATGGCTCAGTGCCTTCGTTCGTGGAGCAAGGCCGGTATTTATCAACCGACTCTTCTTCCACTTAGTCTCCTTGAGGGGGATAATTGGAGGCAAGTTCTTCAATTGGTGGGCAGGATAACCGTAGATAGGGACAATGAAGAATGAAGACCGGCATTGATCGATTTGATCGTCAATCGATATCGATCGATTCGATTTAATTAGTGATCGATCGATATCGATCGATTGAAGGTGACGATCGATATAAATCGATCGATTGGAGGCGCCGATCGATAAAAATCGATCGATCAGGGCTGGGAATCGATCTATACGATCGATTTCCAACCCTGGGCCCAACGGCGCCTCTATACTCAGATTCGAGCATGCGAAGAAGAGTCTTCGCAGAGGGAATATGGGCCTTATCAAGGAGTGGGTTGCCGTAAAGCAGGATCCGTTGGAATCGCTCAGCATTGACTATCTCGAACGGCAAGTTGTGGTACGTAATCCAGTCGAGAAGAACTCGAAGACCCTTGACGTTGAATTGTTTACGGAGGTTGCTAAGGAGGAACTGATCGTTGTTGTTGTTGTTGTTGTTGTTGTTGATTAATTACCGTCGTGAGAGCATCTAGATGCCCACAGAATCCCCCATGGGGCAAGACGACGTGCTAGGCTGGTGTCTACGGCTGAAGAAACCTAGGTACAGGATAGCTATGACGGCCGGAGCCGCTAGCTGATACTAACCCGGGGCCGGGGCCACGGGCCCAGAAGGCCCCTGGCCCGGGCCCGCAGTCCGGATCACGTGTAAGTCTAATACCCTCCACGCGAGCCGAGATTACGATTCTTCTTCCTCTTCCATCTAACAATTAAGCAGCCCTATTTGACCTATTATTTCGAACCCGATATCCGTCAGCGGATTTTCAGGGCGCGGCCCGACGACCGCAATAGCATCCGATTTTTGGGGGAACCAGGGGGAAACCGCATTCGAAGCTGCTGTGCAGCGCAGCGCGTCTTCAGGCTCGGACCTGCAAGGGCCCGAGCCTTCCGACAGCGCTCCTGAGTAAAAGAGACAAAGGAAAGAGGGAAGGAGTGTGTTATTGAGGGTCTGGGGCCGAAGCGGCTAGCACCGCGACTTCTGGGGGTTCTAGACGAGGGAGCGATGATAGGGGCAGATTTCCTGGAAGAAACTTGCTGCCTCTATCATCGCGATGAACTCGCCGAAATTTTGTCCTATTACGCGGCTGATCGTCAGCTTCGGAAAAAGCCCCAGCTTTATCCGATGACGACGGTCGACCTTGCGGCAATAGAAGGGATGGTCGGGTGATTTCCGCCGTCCGCACGAGCATTCAAGCTGTGCATTATCGTGGGCAAATCTCTCGTGGTATGCAGCAAAGTCTCCGTGACCGGATCGGGCTGCTAAGAGATATCGGAGAGTCTTCCGAGGAAGCTGCAATTCGGCTGGGCTAGCAGCAGCTGCTTCTAGCTGATAGGGTTGATATGAGTCTGGGGCGTGGTCTTGCCACCAGCTCTTAAAGAGGGTTCGGGGGAGGGCTTTAGCCTTCCGCTTATTGAAAGCAAGAGACGGAGCCAGTCCGGGTGGTTCCGGAAGCTCTGTACCTGCTTTGGCCAGCTTGTCGGCCTGCTCGTTTCCGGGGATGCCTTTGTGGCCAGGGCTCCATCGTACAGATGTGGCCCCGTGGGCTTGTGCGATCAATTGGAACTCCAGGAACTGGGCTTGTGAGGATTCCGACGGCTGGCCTAGCAAGCCAGCTGCTGCGGATGTGTTATCGAGACATGCGTAAATATGCGAGCCTGGCTGGGCCAGGTTTGTGGCGTGCCGTAGGCCCGCGAGGGCAACAGCGACTTCTGCATCAAAGACCTCGGTAGGGCCTAGCCGGCCTAGACCCTTGCCAATAGTATGTTTATTGCGATGAATGACATACCCGTAGCCTGCGGCCCCTCCGGAGGATCGGGATCCATCTGAATAGACGATAAGATCTATTGCAGACAGGGTCTCGATCCAGGTAAGGAAAGCAGGGACGGCGATGTCTTTCGGTTGTATGTGTAATTGAGCAGAGCTGTATTTCCGTTGAAGGAGGTCCGGCCGGGACGAGGGCGGAAGAAGCAGGGCTGTTCGTTGCAGCCGGGTCTTGTAGATCGGCTTCTGGCTTGGCCTAGGGGTCGGGATCACAGTCCTAGCTGTAAGGGGATGCCTTGGATCCAGGGACTGGAGCCGGGCTGTGTGGCGTAGGCGTATGGCTTCTAGCAGCTGTTCAACTGGTGGAATGCCACTTTCGCGATAGAGGGCGGCTAGAGGGGTCGTCTTCCAAGTTGGAAGGATACTGCGGATGCTAGTGTGTAGGACCTTTTTGAGACGATCGAGAAGATGGTCAATTCTCGTTGAGACCAGGGGCCCTCCGGCCCGTAGAGACGGCGCTATCTTTCCCGGGTACCAGGCCTCAGCCCCGTAGAATAGAATAGGCAAGACGCACGCCTTGACAGCAAGGCGGACCTTATCCGGCGGCGGTCCGCGCGCTGTATTGGCAAGGCCTCGTAGGAGGTTGGCTGTGGCTTGGGCTTTGATGACCCATTCTTCGACGTGGGCCTTGAAGGATAGCTTTCTATCCAGCCAGACGCCCAGCCAGCGGAGGGCTTTTTCCGGAGCCTTGGTCTGTCCCTTGTGGTCGATTGTCGGGCTGGAGTCGCTCTGTCTGCGAGAGAAATGCATTATCTCGGTCTTTCCTGGGTCGAAGCTAACCTCGTTGCAAGCTCCCCAGTATTCTATCTCTTCCATATTGACCTCTG